TCATTTATTCAGAGCTGATTGTGGTGGCACACACCTCAATCCCAGTACTCAGGAGGCAGGAGCAGGCAGATCTCTGTGACTTTTGGGCCAGCCTAGTTTACAAAAAGAATTTCAAGACAGTCAGAGCTACAATAGAAAGACACTGTGTCAGCCCAATATGATAGCCAACATCTTTAATCCCAGCACTGGAGAAGCAGAAGCAGGTGGATGTCTGTAAATTCAAAGCCAGCATGATCTACATATTAACTTCCAAAAAAAAAAAAAAAAAAAAAAAAAAAAAACAAGACCCAAAACTCAAAAAGAACACACAATATAAAAATAATAATAATTTTATTCATTTGTTTGAGTCAGGTCTCGTTTGGCCTCTAATAACTTTAAACTTGTGATCCTCTTGTCCACCTCCCACATCACTGGTGGGTTTAAAAAACATGCACTTTCACCCAGTTTTATGAAGTGCTTGGGATCTAAGCCCTTTGCCTTTGTGAGGCACGCATTCACGAATTCACGTGAGCTCCATCCACTCCCCCCACCTCTCCTGCAACCATTATGTCAACCTCAGTTATCCTAGACTTAGCCAATGGTTGTTTAGTTGAGTACAATGCCTCACTTGCTCTGTCTTATCAACTGGCTATTCTTTGAATGCTTTCTTCCTTTCTGGCATAACAAAGTGTTTCAGAACTATCTGATAACTCCTCAACCCCAGCTGTGAATAATCCTTTTATTCAAGAAGAACCTTGGTTCATGTTAGCAGAGGATGGCATCCATTGGCTGAGATCTAGGGTTTTGTTTTATGTGCTGGTGCCTCCTACCATGTCTTTGCTCCTAGGCAAAGGGAAATGATGCTTGGTAGGTAAGAACTGAGACAAGTAACTTAGGAAACTGGATCTTCCTTTTGATACCTGCATCTGCTGATGGTCACAGGCCCCTTTGTGGTTAGACATCTCTGAAATCACAGTTAAGTTCCTACTACATCAGAAACGGAGGCAGCAGATGCGGTGAAGAAGGGTTTGCACCCTCAAAAGGCTGGCATCCTTAGACTGCCATGTGCCTGGATTTGACACAATGGTTCATCATTATTTGGGGGGGGGAAAGGGTGGCTTTCCCCTATGAATATGCCACTCACCTTATAAATATTCATGTTTTCTCTAAAATCCACAACACAGAACCCATGGGGCTGCTCCCTGCCTTAGGGCAGCCACTTCCATCTTTCTCTGGAGTGCTTACTTTGCTTAACTTTACCAAATGAACTTTGCTCAGTGTCTATGTCTATTGACTGTTTCTTTCCTTCAAGAAGAACAGTGCTAAAAAATACCCATGAGAAAGAGTGAGAAAATTGTCTTTTGTCTTTGTGATAATTCATTTCTATTTGTACATACTTGTATAACCCTGAGTTTATATCGACAGTGCCCATTGGAACACTCTGAAAGGATGGAACAGTGGTGGAATCTGATTCATGATTTGAATTTTTTTTTTCTGGATCTGGGGGTCAGACCCCAGATCCTTTTCACATGAAGCAAGTGCTGCTCTACTGAGTTATAGCCTGTGTGTTTTTGGTTTGCTGATTGGTGTTTTGCTGCGTTTTGAAACAGACTCCCACTACATAACCAGAGCCTGTCTCAAACTGGAGAACATCTTGCCTCCACCTCCCAAGAGTGGAAGATCACAGCTGTGTTCCAACCGTCACCCCTTCCTCTTTGATTTATATATTAGAAGTGTCACCTTTTGCTGGGGAGGGGAAGAGCACATATTCCTGTAATCCCAACACTTTGGAGGCTGAGGTAGAAGGATCACTGTGAATTTCAAGCCCACTTGGGCTACATAGTAACAAGTATAGTGAATTTGAAGCCATATCCTGTGCTACCTTGTTTCAACTGTCCCTTTCTCCACCCCACCCCCACCTCCCACCAAAAGAGTAAATTAGAAGAAAATTGTAGTCACAAGAAAGGTAGTTAGTAGAAAGGGACATACCTTAGAGAGAGAGTGTGTCTCCCCAGCATTCAAGAAGTCCTGGGTTTAATCCCTGGCATCCCAAGAGACTAAACACTGGGAGGTAATTTAGGAGATACTGCAATAATCCAGGTGACAGGTGAGAGACAAGCCTGGATTAGGATGTAATAATGCAGGCAGTGGCACTTGGCTAAATCTTGCACATTAGAAAAAGAAATAGCTGACTGGTCAATATGGAGTGTTAAAAAAAAGAAGAGCTAAGGATGATCCTAAGGGTTTTAAGTGTAATCAACTAGAGGATTTTCCTTGACCAAAAGGAGAAGACTACAGATGAAGCAGCTTTGAGGGAAAAGTGTACTAGATGGCCAAGTGGAGATGGGAAGTAGACAATTGTGCATAAGCATTCAGGGAACAGTCCCAGATCTGGAGAGGAAAACGAGGTAACATGAGGTATTATCTGGCTTTTAAAGGTGCTAGACTAGGGATGCCTAGGCAGGAAGCACAGGTAGAGAAGAGAATCCCTTGGAAGTTTGAGCCTTGTGACTCTGCTAACCCTGAAGTCTGTGAATGGAATGCTAACGATGCAGAAGGGACATCAGAAGGGTGTTGAGGCTGGAAGGCAAGCAAAAAAGCCTCTCTTTAGGGGCAAGCATCAGATTACTGTTCATTTAGCAATGTGACGGTCATCTGTAACCTTAACAAAGACAGCAATGACGGTGAGGAGGGTATGTACATGGTTGGAGGGAGTTCCTATGCTCAAAGGAACATAGGAAGGTAGAGACAATGAGATCATGTATTACTGCATGGAGGAAGGAGGAATGGAATGATAACGGAAGGAGAGCACAGGGTCCAGACAGTGTCTTAACTTGTTTTTGGCCTTTTCTCCAGTTGACTTACAACAAAACTGTAGTCTGAGTAATCAGAAAGAATAGAGGCCTATTTAGCTCAGCAGTCTGGAAGCTGGGAAGCCTGAGAACATAGTGCCAGTGTAGCTGGTGAGAGCTTTCTTGCTGCATCAGAATCTGGTAGAGAGAATCATATTGTGTGATAAAGTAAGCTAGCTTGTCAGAGACTCTTCTTAGAAAGCTATCATCATGCATCGTGGGGGCTCTGTTCATATGATGTCCTCTAGTTCAAGGCCCTACCTCCCATCTAATTACACACCTGGGGACTAAGTCGCTAACACTAGACTCTTCAAGGACAAGTTATTTTAGTTGTTACGAATGAAGTCACGTCTGGAAGCTGATGGGAGCAATACAGTAGAAAGGAAGGAACGTGGGTCAGAGGGATGGACAATCTAGATGTGGAAGTTGGCAACAGTTGAGTGTCAGCACTCTTCTGCAGTAATCAGGGAAAGGAAAAGGGCTGGTGGTAAGGACACGCAGTTGTGGATGTCCATGGGAAACTATCTTCCCAATGAAACAGAAAGCAGAGCCGCCACCCTATACAACGAACCCGAGCCAACTGAGGGAAGCTGAGAGTGGGGCAGGTGGCCACACCAGTGAAGAGTATACCAACTGGTCGTCCAAAGCCAACCCGTCAGCCCTAAAAACATACAGGTAGCACTCACTACACAAACCGAACAGGTTATATTTGAGAATGTACATGTATATACATATACTTATATGCATGCAATAACAATTAGAATAATAAGGCCGTGGATTTGAAGGAGAGCAGGGAATGAGTATATCTGCGGTTTTAATGTAATCAAATTACAGTCTCAAAAAACATCTAGTAGAATTGAAGGCGAAGTGAAGGGGTAATTCGTGGTTTCGGGTGACACAGTCGGAAGGTAGAGGGAAAAGCTGAGTAGATTTTGAGAGGAGAGGGTAATCTTTGTGATTGGATGGAGTTTGGAATTGTAGTTGAAACGCTTTTTACGGTAGCCTCAGTTTCGCACGGGGGTGCTAGCGAGCTGGTCCCAGGCGGCTGAATCCCAGCGAGAGCTTCTCGAAAGGAAGAAATAGAAAACGAACTAACATACCAAAACTACTAACGCTGTGAGCAGGATTCGAACCTGCGCGGGGAAACCCCATTGGATTTCGAGTCCAACGCCTTAACCACTCGGCCATCACAGCCGCGTGCGGCCTCGGGCCTGCGGGGCTATAGCTGACTATCAAGTCACTTGACCCCTTGTAGATCGCGGGTTTGGCTCTGCGCGTGCGCAAGCGGTTTGCCTGCCAGGTCCAGACTTCTGGAACAACCCCCTTTCCAGGCCTCCAGGCCTACCTCTCGCAGAGCCACAGTGGAACCCTAATAATATTAAACCAGTGCCCACCCGAGGTCTCGAGGGTCTCACGGACTAGCGGCTTCTGATCTGTCTCCAAATACACAACAACACGCTTAGGCCGAAGAAGTACACTAGGTAAGAGTCTAGATAATTACTTGGGGAGGAGACATCAAATTCAGCAATAATATACCACTTCCCATGTAAAGCAAACCAGGCACCGCTGGGATTCGAACCCAGGATCTCCTGTTTACTAGACAGGCGCTTTAACCAACTAAGCCACGGCGCCAACGAGTATCACTGTTCCTTCAAAGTAGGTCAGCTGTTACTGATGGTGGGGGGAGGGGTGGGAAAAGGAAGACCAGCATCCTGAGACTTAACCACCAATCTCAACTGGACCTCTGATGCTTCCACCTACCCAGGCTCCCCTGACCTTTCAAGCCTGAGTTAATAAAGGACTGGTGTCTTAGCTAACTGAACTGACCAGCTGAAGAGCTATTTCTGATGGTGTGAAGCTGAAGAACTTAGCTAAACTACCACGGGTTCCCAGCTCCCCACGCTTCTGCCACAGTACCTATGACTGGAGCTTGCCAAGACCATAACCACGTGTTGCCTTTCTGCTTCTCACGGTAACCAGGCTAAGGCAGTGGGAGAGAGTGTAGTTCTATTAGGTGTGAGAGTTTACCAGACCTAGCAAAGTCCTTTGCTGCCAGGAATGGGAGGGAAAAGGAGTAGATTCATCAAACCACTACAATACAATCTTGCTGGTGGCAAGGCCGCTCCTTCCCCACCCAAACTCCCAACTTCATTTCACAAAGTCTTGGACTTTTGGTTTTTCATTTTGTATTAAAAAAATAACAGACACAATATCAAAAACACAAATGCCATTGGTTGAGGGTAGAGCTGAGAACACCTGGGTCCCACCTGAGGGGCAGCACCAGGGACTCCACGGTCCACCAACCTCCCCCACCCTGGAGCAGCTAGGGGTTCAAAACCCCTGTGTCCTACACTGACCCCAGGCTCCCCTCCTCCCACCTGGGATGAGATAGGAGAGTGAACTGTCTCCCCCAATAAATAAGTGCAGCCCCAACCCTCCCACTGGGACTCAGGCTCATGCCAGCATCTTGTCAGCTGAGTGAGGAAGGGTCTCCTCAGCAGGGTGGGAATGAACAATCCTCCAAGCTAGGCGGGAAATTTCCACTCTCTGCTAAGAGGCTAGAGGCAGCTCCTGGGTCCTGGGCTGGTAGTGGGGGTCCTGCCCCCTATGTTGGGAGAAGCTGGGGCAGTTTCCTATTGGTTGGTCCAGCCATATCTTGAGGTTTAAGAACCCCAACATGGATGAAAAGGAAGCCTCTCATAGACAGCTGCAAGTGGCCTCAAAATGGAGTCTAGCCGGTGCCGTTTCCTTCCGCAGGTAAAGCTGGACTGGATGAACTCCCACCTTGTTCTTCTTCTTCCATGGCAGAGTCCTGAGAACTTGAGCCCTTAGCCCCAATTTGGGTCTGGGCCTCCTCACCGCCGTCACACTCACCACCACCACCACCGCCGCCCTCGCCTCCACCCTCTTCCATGGGCTCCAGCCCCAGCCCATCCAGTTCTGAGAAGAGTGGGTCATCAGAGTGGCCAGGGTCTTGAATGCTGCTACCACAGTCCACACAAGCCTTGGAGGGAAAAGCAGGATGAGTTAGGCAGGGTCCTCCCCGGGAATCTGCAAGCTCAGCTCCCACCCTTAACCTAACAGTGAGTCCCAACATATCTCCCAAGAAACCAGTCCACACATGTGGCTACAGTCTAACAAGGCTGTAAAATCCTCTACTGAGGGGACTGGAGAGCCCAGCTCTGCATATGGTTCCAGATCACCCTTTTCTGACCTTCATGGGCACCAGGCACACATGTGGTATATAGACATATATGCAGACAAAAGCACTCACACACATAAATCTTTAAAAGACAATTAAGACAGTGCTTGACTGAGACCCCATTTCAATGGGGTGGTATGATGGGCCACAGAAGTTCTGTGAAAACGTGTGAGGTAATGTGGTTTAATATTACATAATCCAGCAGCAGGGTTATGGGACCAGCATCCTCCAGAATTAATGATGCAAAGACACTGAGATCAGACTGTACTCCACTCTCCCTTGAACTTGGCATCTTCCACCCTAGTCTCTCCCTGGCTTGGCTCCCAGACTTCTCTCACCATCACGTCAAGGGCCCGAGGCAGCTGGCCCTTCCGGACCCAGGAGTGCACAGCACCCAGCTCCCGCCGCTGGTCCTCTGAGAACCGTGGCTGTTGCTTCTGCATGGCTCGGAGCCTCTCCCGGTCTTGCTTCAGCACAGAGGCTGTGTCCCTGTGTGAGGATGGCAGAGGCTAGGATCCAGGGCCAAGAACCATGGGGTCAGCATTCATCTTCAACCACAATTCCTTAACCCATTGTCTTCTGTGCCTTTCTTGGAGGTAAGTAACATTTCAACACTAGGAAACCTACTCTCAGCTTGAGAACTACCGACAGTTCCAAGGGACAGGGGCTTATGCCACAGTGAGCACCTCCAGGTTAGACCTGACCCAGAAAGAAGAGCCTCAGATTACTAGTCTGTACTGCTCGGAAAGGGAAGAAGATGAGGCCTCTAAAACTCACCTGGAGGGCACCTGGTAAGTCATCATGACGTGCTGGTCAGCATTGGCCATGAGCAACCAGATGGGATCCTGGAGCACATACTTAATAACCTGGTCCCCAGGCTCAGTCCTGACCTGAGCAGCGCCAGCTTCAGCCTCTGAAGAGTCGATGCTACCAAAGTACTTGCTTGTGTGGCTGCTTTGGCTGCTGCCTGTGGAGAGGTGGGGAAGGCCAATGGAGCCAGGCTGGCTAACACATCCACCCTGAGAGGCTTCACCAGGCCACCCTCTAAGACCACGTGTCCAGCCCACCGGCCTTAACAGGTTAGGTCAAACTGGGGCTTAGCTTCCCACCTCTGTCCCACTCTGGGAAGTACTGGAGGGAGCACTCACGAGTAATGCTGGCTGAGGTACTCCCCCCTTCATGGGATCCTGAACCAGATCCAGAGCCCAAGCCAGAGCCCAGAGAGCCTGAAGCTGCAGAGCCTGTGCCAGAGCGAGAATCTTCCTGTAGTAGTAGCTCCAGCAGATCACTGGAGCCTGAAAGTGCGTCCTGATTGGAGGACTCAGTTACCTCTGCCTACAAGTGGAGTGGAGGGGACAGGTTATCACCACAGTGCTTCTCCTCAACTGCTTCTGTTGAGGGGCACCAAGGAAGTCACTCCCGACCCCACAGAACTTTGCTCCTTGCTCCACGACACAGGGCCAAGTTAAGAGGAGAGTTGACAAGTACGGAACGTAATGCCAGACCCTTTCCAAGTGGCAGCGACACTCTTAGAATGTACTTTGGTGTACACTGGGTTGTCCTCGCCACCTGTCAGATAGACAGAACCGTCCCTTCCCAGAGGAGGCAGCTCATTTCTGCTTCATTCACAAAGTGCGCTTGAACCCTCCCACCCATACCAACTCGAGGAAGGTGAGAACTGGCCCAGAGAGCACACGGGCAGAAGAGGGGCAAGGGCTGAGGGCACTGCGAGAGGGGGGAGTTGTTGCTCACCAGTCTGGCCTCTGGCTCAGCAGCCTCCTCACTGGGAGGCAGGGGCCCAGCGCTGCTTCCGGGGCCCCCTGCAGCACCCCCCTCAGTGCGGGGGGACTCCTCAAGCTGCAGCAGATTGAGCTGCAGTGGGGAACTGCATCTTGAGTTGAACAGGGGGGAGTCTGGGCGGTGTGGGGGGCTGGGGGCCGGTGGGGGCAGGGACGGAGAAGGTGAGTGGGAAGCAGGAGTAGGTGGCCCCTCGGCAGGGGCCTGGGATACCCCATATGGATAGCTAGGTGGGGTAGGGAATAGATAGTTAGGGAGCACCAAGGCCACCATTGGGGTCACCAAGGGAGAAGGGAAAGTAGCAGGGGGCACAGACGTGGGGGCAGGGGGCAGAGGCTGTGGACCTCCTCGAGGGGCGAAGACTGGGAGTGGGTAGGGCTGGACCATTGCTGGGAAGGGGGCAGTGGCTGGGGGGGGTGGCCAGGGTCCAGAGGAGGGCACAGGTGAAGGGTGGGAGACATAGCAGGGAGTTTCAGGCTGGGGGTTCTGGTGGTGGCGAGAACGTTTTGCTTTAGATCTGCAGTGGTGTCGGCGACCAGGGGGCATGGGGCCATGGTGGCAGCCTGTGGGGAAAGACCAGGGTTAGCAAGGAGCCTGCCACCTCCACTTCCCTACACACTGAGGACAGGCAAAGGGTCGAGAAAGCTGCTCAGCCTGCACGCAAAACAGCAAGATAGAAAGCAGGGGGCATTTCAGGGAAGAATCACAGGAGACAGGGGACAGGGGGTTTATTGTGAAAGGAGCCAGGAGGGCAAGGTTACATGAGGGTCAAGCTGGGAGTGTGCCAAACAGAGACACACTGGCAGAAAGAGCAGGCAGAGTGGGTCCATGGATGAACAGGCAGGTGACTTCAGTCCGTCTGCCAAAATCCCTCAGGCTGGGCTGCCTGGATACTTGTCCCGCCAGTTGAAACTGTGCTCTGCCTAACTCACAATGGAACGATGTGGTGGGCAGAATAGGCCAGGCCTCAGTCCTAAGTCCTGCAGCTGGCTGCGAAAGTCGCCTGCAGGTACCTAAGGGGCTACTTTCTATATCTGCCCTGGAAGTCCAACCCCATCCAAGATCGGCACAGTCTCTGCGGCTCGACATCGGTGATGCTAAGCCCCACGTGGGCACAGTTTTTGCCCTTGCTCTCAGGCTAGGACTCGAGCTTACCTGGAACCAAGCACTTCCACACGCCTGTCTCAGTGCCACCCCGCCCCAAGCTTCCCTCCTCAGCTTGCAGCCTGGAACCCTGGCCTAGTAGGGGAAAGGTATGTAGGAGTCTAACTAATGAGGGTCCTGATGGTAAAGACAGCATTAGCCTGGGTCCCCCACCACAACACCACCCCAGCATCTGGTCCTAGGCTGGCTGTGAAAAAGGCAGCTTAAGGAAGCCCCAGGTGGCTACCTCGCTCGCCAGGGGCTGAGGGGGCCACGGAAGAGTTGTCAAGTCCACGAAGCCTGCCGATGTCTCTGAAGCGGCTGAGGAAGGCTTGTTCTTCCTTTTGTGTGTGCAGGGATAGCACAGCCTTGGTCAGACCCACTGGGCGATAAGCATCTGGGGCTGGGTCAGGGGCTACTGTGGGGCTGGGGGCCGGACTAGGGGTTGGGCCAGGGGCTAGGCCAGGCAGGTCCTCCATCATGATGATGTCTAAGGAAGGTGAGATGGGAAAAAGGTGATGAGAAACATCTCAGAGGTAAACGTGTCCACACTACAACCATCCTACCCAAGGCTTGGGAACCCAGGTCCTCAAGGCCACCTCTCTGTCAAAAGCTAGACCTGGGCTCTTCTTCCCATGCAAAACTGTCCAGAGAAAAAGACCCATGGCTAAGACCCTGCCAGGAACCCCTGGGGTGATACCTCCTCCTCCTCCTAAGGGAAGCCCACATCTTGCTTTCCACACATTTTTAAGGTCTACCCAGAGACCCTGAAGTCTTGCTTTAGTGGTCAACATTTCAGTGTTGGACCCCCTCCCCTTACATCCAACTGACAGTCAGAATTCAGGAGGGAGAGTTGGGGAAGGGCAAGCAGCAGAGGTTAGTAGGGTGGGCAGTCGGGAGCAGTAGAGCCCCAAGCTAAGGTGGCCTCCTCTCCACTGGGGGAAGGGGAAGAAAGGCAGGCAGGAAAGAGCTCTGGTGAGGGACAAAGTGGGGTCCAATCATACCCCCCTCACTCCACGCCCATACCCGACTCCGGGGGCTTCTTGTCTCCCACATGGACGATGGTGGAGCTGAAGCTACACTGACTGGTGACAGACACCACGCTCTCTGCCTTATTGGCCAGGGCGAGCGGGCTCAGGGTGCCTCCCACCACTGGCTCCTTCCGAGGAGTGGCCCCCTCCCCAGACAGCACTGCTGACGTCGGATCTGTGCGGAGAGATGGCACTGGTTACCACCCCCACCCCTCGGAAGGAGAGGGGATCCCAGGGTGCAGTAGGGAAGGATTGGCTAGAGGGAGGAACCTGGAGATCAGGAGGCAGGAAAGGAGGGCTGGAATAGCAGGTGGGAGCCCCCAAGGCAGAAGTGTATAAGCCCAGCACTACCCGGACGGACGGGAAGGGCAACGGGGGGTGGGGGGGGGGCCAGGAACACACATCTTTACCTTTCTTGGCCCCGACAGGAACTGGGCCTGCCCTCTGCTTGTCGTCATCGGAGGCTGAGGAAGCAGTACAGGAAGAGGAGGAGGCACATTTGCGCTTTGTTGTGCTGGGAATGTTGCAGCTCTCTAAGTACCTGGGGATGGATGAAGCAAAGGATTTTAGGGCAGGGCCTAGGGCAGGCAAGGAAGGACCAAGGAAGAAGGTGACTGGCAGGCCTTACCTGAGGATGCTGTCCAGGCAGTTGATCTGCTGGTAGGAACAGCTGGAGGCTTCTTTCCTCTCTGGCTCCTCAGGGACCAATGCGAGTGGGGCTTGGTCGGGAGCAGGAGCCACCTCCAGTTCAGGGTTTGGGGATTGGCAGGAAAGGACTTTGGCCTTGAGTGTACCTGTAGCTAGGCCAAGGAAAAGAAACAGTAAATGGGCTAGGAATGAGGGTAAGGGGAGCCTCAGGCCTTAACTCTCATCCCTCCTCTATGCTGTTACCAACTCACCGAGGAGGCGGGGCCGGGGTGGAGGCTTGGCCCGGGACTCAATGAAGAGCTGCTGTCCCTGGTGCTTCACCAGATGCACGTCCTTACAGATCTGCTGGAAAGTCACCTGTGGGACAGCAGAGCACTGGGCAGCATTGGGGTGGCCAGTGCCAGTGCCTAAGTATCAGTAACAGCACCTGCGAGCCTACATGAGCAACGGACTGGCAATGATTCCCAAGAGAATGGGCGATGAGGAGGGTGACATGGCGAAGGTTACTCACTGGAGCAGGAGGCCCAGGCCCCTCAGCATCACCCCCATTGCTATCACTGGAGGAGCCAGGGCTATGAAGAGGACCAGGAGACATCAGAGGGCCAACTCCACAGAGCCCTGTGGGGCTGGAGCTGTGCACAGGCTGCAGCAAGAAGGATGGGTTGGTTAGATGTCTAGATCCTACTTCCTGACCACTTCACTCGTGAGGCCTTCCTCAGCTCTCACCTGCAACAGCAGTCGATGGATCTGCTCTGAGAGTTCCTGTATATCAGAGTCCAGGGACAGAGCTGGGCTGGGGGCCGGGGGAGTGAAGACGTCCTCATTCAGGGGTGCCCTGCAGCATGGAAGGGTGAATCCTGTCCTTGTCTAGTCCTGTAACACTGTCCCATCCCCAACACCAGCTCAGAGATGTGACACACTTACGTGCGTACTTTATGGCGGCCCAACACGAAAGCCACCTTGCGACTCCAGGGATGCACAAAGCCGGCCCAGCTGGTGTCCATGGTGACATATTCACCATTCCGAGCACAGAAGCGAATAGGAGAGTGGTCAAAGGGCTGGCCTGCCAGCTGCAGAACTATGGGAACAGGAACAAAAATGGTGTTAGTGACTGGGAGAACTGAATAAAGTGGAGACAGAGACACACAGAGACATCCAAGACACCGAGGCATCGAGGCCCAACACCACACGGGCAGCTAAGAAACCCTGGAGACAAGCAGGGAGTGAGAGCAAGATGGGGCGGACTCACTCTTCTTATGAATGGCCAGCATGAGGGGTCTGTCCTCAGGGTGCAGAAAGAGGAGTACGGGGGCCCCCACAAGATCCTGGGGCAGGTAGCCCAGCAGTGGTGCAGCCCTGCATGAGAGGAGGCGTCAGGCCACGGCTTGCTCCTGGTTACCCACCTTCCTCCAAGTCTGTCTTTACCTTACCTTTCATCTACATCCTGGAAGAGGCAGCTGGGTGTGTGCCGCGTGGTGAAAATCCTCTTGTCAGGCGGGATGCGGGGAGCTGCAGCATAGAACATGTAGGTTTCATCCACAGAGGTCTAGCCCCTCAGCCCTCCTCTCTGCCTAGGGTTTGGCTGTCCAGCGGTTCTCCTCTCTGCTCAGACCTGGCTTTATGGCCCACAGAGAGTCTGAGTCATTTGGTGACTCACACCAGAGATGACACTGAGAATCACTGACAGATTCTTTTCCACCTGTCACAGCTCAAGGATCTCACCCTACCCTACCTACAAGCAGGGTCTGAACCTCTTATATTACCTAAACCCTAAGGACCCACTCAGCTCATGCCTCCCAGACTCTCATCCTAAACTTCACCCCATCCTAGAGGGAAAACCTTCCATCATCCCCCAGGCCAGGGCCCTAGCCCGCCCACCTTCATAGCCAGAGTGGATGCGCTCTGCAATGAGTAGGCAGCATGGCTGGGCAGGGGCCCCATCTGAGACCCGAATCTTGGTCACATATGGGGTTAGGCGGAATGGCTGGTACCGAGGCCCTGGATCCCGGTCAGGACCTCCTCTGGCAAGGGAAAGATGGATATTAGAAGTTTCCAGTGGAAAGCTGCCACCCCCTTGTCAAAGTCACAGCCCATATAACAGCAATCAATCACAGGGATGAATAAAAGACAGAGGCCTTCTCCTCTTCCCCTCCCTACCTGATTCGGCAGAAGACAGACTTTTCCTGGGTGAAGTCCTTGAGGCCTGAACCTAGAACAGATGAGAACGGCGGTAAGCACAGTGCCATTCCTTTCCTGGGCTGAGAAGAACCCAGGGAATGAAAGCTTAGGCCCAGGCTGCTCCTGGCAGCAGCTTCTTGGAGCTGTTCCGCCCTCTGCAAAGCACAAGGGCACTTTACCTGCAGAGGTCCCAGTGCCCCAGGTCGGCAGTCGAGATGGTGTAGTAGAGCCATAGAAGACACCCACATCCTGGGGAGCTAGGAGCTCTGAGAAGCGGGCACCCCGAAATACATCCCGTTTACAACGCAGCAGGACACCTGCCTGCTCCGAAATATAGACAATCCGGCCTGTCAGGAAGGACACAGCCACAGAGAAGGTATCCTAGGATGAGAACAAGATCAACAGAAGGTTTAGGAGCTGCAGGAATGAGGATGAGGGTGTGTTAGAACACAGGACCCACGCTGCAACTGACCTGGTTTCGCAGAGTGTATTCAGATGTGATATGCTCCAGTTCCTCCAGGGTGTAAGTAGACATGTCCATGGCACAAGGCTCACCCTCCTCCAGACTCCACTGCTGATAATATTCCTGGTTAGCTGTAGGACAAGCCATACTCAGTAAGAATGGAACCTACAACAGTCCACTCCCTGGCCACACCCTGCCAGGAAGTTCCACTCACCCTGCACCTGCTTGACACAAGCCAAGGCATACTGCAGTGTGGCCAGGGTCCCAGATCGGCCCTTGCCTCGACGTTCTGGTGGCAATCGAAGTTTGAGCTCCCGAAGTGCAGTCATGAGTTCCTTCTGGGTCCTGGCTCGAGCTGACTGTTCACTACTGCAAGGCCCACAGGAACGGAGGAGTAAAGACATTAGCCCCAGAGTCCGGCCCCAATCCCCAGGCACCTCCCACAGCCCTCATGCCACAGACCTGCAGCCGCTGGTAGATGGGTTGTCCTGCTCTGAGCTTGCACTCAGGAGGCTATAGGCAATGGAACTGCTTGGTGGAGATGGGCTCTGAGAGTTTGTACTAGAAAAGAAGCAACAGCCCAAGGTGAGGGCCATGTGATCAACAGCCCCGTGCTCTCACCTAGCTCCCCAGAGCACTTCTGGACCATGCAGTATGCTCGTGCACACACCTCTTGCTGCTCTCGGTGGTCTCCAGCAGGGCTGAGTCCTTGCCATTGCCAGAAGAAGAGCTATGAGAGCTCCGCTGAGATGCGCCCCTGGACTCGTGTCCATTGGACTCATTGCCGCTTGAGCCATTGCTGTTTGCATCAGTATCATCAGCCAGGCTGCGGCCTGTACAAGGCCGGTGCTGTGCCCCAGGAGATGGGGCTCCTCCAGGGCAAAAAGGTTCTCCGGGCCTGGGGTCTCCTCCCCCCTCAGCCCCTTCTAGGGGGCCACTCATGTCTGGGCCATGCAGTGGAGAACAAAACAGGGAAGGTGAGGAGGCCACCACGGGTGCACCACGGGACTTTTGAGGCCTGGATAAGGGAGGTAGGACGTCTGTCTCTGAGGGCTGAGTAATTTAATCACAGCACCTAGAAAAAGAAACCAAAAAGGAAGGTTTAGCAAAGCTGAGCCGTGACTGAACGTTGGCTACATCCAGTCCTTCCTCTGCCTGTCCCTCACTGATGGGACTCAGGCCTGAGTCCTTGTAATAGGAAGCCAAGTTCTGTTTCCAGTTCCTCCTAAGGGTACACTACAGGTAGGAAGGCAACTCTGTTGAGCCTTCTCTTAGGCCCCCTGCCAGTGTGGAGTGAATACAGCCTGATTAACTAGAACTATGGCTTTGGGACGAAGCTTGCAATTTTCTTATCCCCAAATTCTCATCAGGTCCCCACTTGGTCTAGGACTCTGAGGCCTCTCAGAGCAGGGGGTGAGCTGATCGCCTCCTATATTTAGGCTTCCGGGCTAATTTTATCCGGGGGCGGTACCACCCCCGCTGCACATGCGCATCGATGTGCCTGGCCCCACCACGCGCTTCCGCCACAGCCACGGTCGCCAGGGAAACCGACGTCAGCCGCTGAGCTCAGCGGTTGCTGGAGGGACCACAGGAGGGCAGGAGAGACCCCTCCCCCCACCCCTAATGCTGTGGAAGTGGAAAACCGACCCACTCCCATACTGGCCAACCACCACCCCCACCCCACCCCCGCTAATACTGGCTAGCAAGGCCCGGGAATCATCCACCTTAACAAATTCCCAAGGCCCAGAGGGACCAGGAGCCATGTGAAGAGAGATGAACTATAGGGACTCCAGGAGCAAGTCCTAGCCTGCCCAGGGAGAAATACGTGGCCTCTGCTCTATGTGGAAACGTCCCCATCCTAGCTCTTGCCTTGATCCACCATTCTGATCAAGACACTGCCTTTCTTTCTCGGGACCCTGCCCACTCCCAAACGTCAGGACTGGAGTTAACACTCGCCATAGGCAAGGACCCAAGCATCTTCCCTGGTCTCCTACTTTTCTAGTTAACCCTACTACCACATCAATGCCTTAGGTAGGGAACATACAACAACCAACATAGAGTTCCTCCTCTATTCCCTGTCTAACCACACCCCCATCCCAAGTATTTTCCGAGCACCACGAGAAAAGGGAAGGCTGTGGCCAACAGCAAGAACTAGCACTGGGAACAGGATGTTCCAGCATGAAGCGGCTGACATCACGACAGGCATGGGGCCAGGAATTGGAGGGAGGAAGGCAGCGAGTGCAAAAACCTGAAGGGGTCTTTGTGCCAGAGCAAACCCGAGGACCCCCAAGTGACAGGAAAGGGGTAAGGAGCCATGCTCGCTAATAGTCTGTTGTTGGGCGTAGGACGGTTGCGATGGAGAGCGAATAAGAATTAAGGCAACCCGTGCAGGGTTGAGTTGAACACCTAAGGGCCCCAGGGGCGGGGAAGGATGGACAGTGACAAGAAGGGCAGGTTTCTGTTTTGCTATCCGAGCGCCAGAGCTGAAAGTGACCCATCACATTGGAGGTAGTGGTAGCCAAGCTCCGGGACAAAGACTAGCCCTAGGATTGCAGCAGAGATCCCTACCTGGCCGTTCGAGCGCCCTCCAGCAGCCTGCCGTTTCAGCCCGCAACCGAGAAGCTCCGAGAGGCTGGGAGGCGGGTTGCATAATGCCAGGCCCTGCCCCTCATTGGCCTTCTGCCCAAAGAGCCGCAGGCCCCGCCCCCAGTTGGCTAAGGATCTCTCCCTGGCACCCGATTGGCTACTGGCTCCCACTGAGGTCAGGGCTGTGTCACACACATCCTTGCACGTGGACTAGGGTGCTGGTGCTGGGCTGAAGGGCCTCAGACTGCTCAGTCAGCCAATGGGCTCAGGATGCATCGCACAGTGAATAATGAACGGGAAGTGAAGGGAGGGGAGATATCCTTTTCAGAGAAAACGTTTGGGCCACAGTGGGCGCTCAAGAGAAACCTACTTCCTGAACTGACCAGCCTTGCAGAACAAGACACCTGTCCTGGAGCCAGTTGAATGAAATGTCTGATACCCATGAGTAGTGGGAGAGAGAAAATCTAGCTTCTCCCCAACCTTGTCATAAAGAATCTAATCCCTTCCTCTGACACTTCAGATCCTGAGAGAAGGGCAATTGAGGGTCCACGTGTCATTAAGGGGTGAGTGGGTGATGGGCGGATACAGATAATGGAAAGGGCAGCGAGAGCCAATGGCTACTGTGAAAGGAAACAAAAGCAGGTGCTTCGATGGCCAATCAGAGAAAAGGTCTCCAGGCAGCCTACTTGATGACTAGCGCTGCCTCTGCAGAGGATGCAGCCACCCACATTTAGGGCTGCCCCACAAGTTGGGAGGACAGGAAACCAGGACTACAAAGGGACAGCAGAGAGGACAGTTTAGGCCCTATAGGCAGAAAAAGATGAGGTGGCAAGGGCTTTATATTCCTGCTGCTTAGGAAAAGCTAAGGTTCGCGTAGCAAGCTCATCCATCTCATTTGCCGTACTCAGCAGTAATGCAAGTCATTCAGTCTGGGTCAGGACTCGACACACAGCAGACTATCGGTAAACAGGATGACTTTGTGTCTATCCAGGATAGGTAAGGGAGAGGGAGTCTTAGGAGAACAGGAGGCAATAAGTTATAATTTAAAAAAAGAAAAGTGGAGCACTGATTCATAAAAAGGAATAGGGACTTGGACTTGATGGGGGTGAGGAGTAGCGTTCCAGCCTGGGTCTAGGAGAACAGCAGTGACATATCCAGACCCGTGCTGAGCAGTTTTTCCAGCGTTCCCTGGAAACGTAGGTGAAGAGGCCACCAAGCAGCTGCTGACATAATCAGCTGTAAGTGCACGCCCCTCTCTGTCACGTGGCTAAAGCTTTCCTTAACAATAGTGTTTCCCTTGGAGGAGGCGGAGTGGCAGGGATGTGTAGAAAAGCTGGGACACAGAAGTGTTATAAAATCACCCAGAAAAACAGAAGCAGGAAAACGGAAAACAAAAGACACGGGCGCCTGAATCCTCAGCTTCCTCTTCCTGAAAATGATGCTGCTTTTCTGCCCTGGCATATTGCGTGTGACCCTGTTCTCTCCTTTTTTATTTTCAGACCCCATTCTCCCTCCATAGCTCTCAAGGATTAGGTGTGATTCCTCTGACCCAAACAGCCATTGCTCACCCACCTCCGTATCTGCCATTTACACAGACAAAAGGTTCAGCACTCCAACAGCCCCCACCTGGTCCCAAGGCCCAGGTTGTCAGATCTGACCGTCCCCACAGTAACCAAGCTCTGCTGCCGTCAATGGGGAAGAGGGGGCGGGAGACAGTGGTGACGTCAAAGCGGAGGAAGGAGGCGGGGCGAAGCAGCCGGGGAATGTGGGGCAGGGAGGCTGGAGAGGCAGCGGTTTGGGAGGCAGCCAGCCCCAGAGGGCGGCGGCCGGCCAGCGCACTAGGGAACATCGTGTTCTCTTGGCTGCTGGCCCAGGACATGCACTCAGACTTGGCGCCTCCCCCAACCCAACGACAACCGTCCTGTACAAAAGCCAGGGATTCCTGGAGAGACGGTTAGAAGGAAGGGGTCCTCCTTCCCTACCCCCACGCCTGGCTCTCTTCGGGACTTGCTTGCGTCTGTGGACTCCCAGCTGATTCTTACAGCTCCTGGCATTGGCTTTTCCCTTTCACCAAACTGTACACAGCTGCTGGCCAGGTACCAAAGAGCCACCGCGGGTAAATTGGAGGCCCAGGTTCAGAGAGGGAAGGCGCACCTTTGCTCCTTCCCAGAGGCCCCCTCAGAGGCGGATTTTCTAGTTACTATTACAGCACAGAACAGGTGGGAGGGGGGTCAGGGAGAATGCATTTAGAATGAGGAAGTCAAACTGGGCAGAGCAAGTAGACTCAGTCTGGAGCCCAGATCTTGGGAGAGGAATACAAGGGAGGAATGATGGAATTTGGGTTGGTGCCTGCAGACCAGAAAAATCAGGAAGAGGGAAAAGAGGAGTCATCAAAACTTGCAGAAAAACAGAAGATGAGGGTTGTTCCAAACACAGCATTCACATAAATCCCTAGCTATCACTACTGTTTTGTTACCTTATAGTTGTGTTTTAAATGATCCAAGCCTGAGCTTAATATTTTAAGTATACTGTTCTTTTTTAAGCCCCAAAACAACTGAAGGTAGATATCACCCTCATTTCATGAGGGATAACTAAGACATAGTAGTCACTAAACTTGCCTTAATTATCTGCTTCATAAACATGTTCTCAGCTTCCTAGGTTCAGGCTCTGATGATGGCTTGTCCTGGCTTCTCACCCTCAGGGACCCTGTGAAGTGTTACCAAACCTCTACTTCTTAAATATTTCCCTGAGTCTAAGTTTGGTGCCTAGAATACAAGCTGCATCCAATTCCTTCTTCCCTTTCCGCCTGATCTCAAGGCACTGTTTGTACTCCACTCACACCACCACGGTTCATTTTTTACTATGCTCAAAGACCTTGAGATCGTTCGAGAAGTCTCCAGCCACAATGCTTTCCTAGCAACCTCACTTCCTCCCTCTCCAACCTCAACCAGGCCTGACTGTCTAGACACCAGAGCAGCCTTTTGGTGCCTCCTCACCTCTAGCAAGTTGAGAAGAAGAGTGAGCAAGCCGGTATATAGAGACCCTCTATCCTATCCTCCCTTTCAGAATCCAATAAATCGCTAGCCCGTTTCTGTTTGCAAGCATGTCCCTGAGACCCCAATGCTCCTTTCCACGTGATGAGATAGTCTCCAAGTCACACAAACCACCAGCACACCAACTTTTCTCAGATTACATCCCACATTCCCACCTGCCCTCCCAGGGTCTTTCTCCAGGCTGACTCTGCCTCTTCCAAGTGTTTGGGGAGCCTACCCAAACCTTAACCAACTCTCAAGCGTCCTATTGCAGGCCCTTCAGCTCTCTCGGGTGGCTGAGGGCTTTTGAGCACTCTGCGCTAGGCAATAGGGTCCAGGGACCCTAGAGAGCTAAGAGATCTGATGCTAGTAACTCCTATCCAAGTTCCCCTGGAGCTGTGTTTGCAGTCCACAACCATCAAACACTCCTACTGCAGCCATCGTGCATGGCGTGATACACACACACACACACACACACCACTCCTTTTGGCCAAGCACTCCTTCCGGGAAAAACCCATTTCGACCGCCCCAGAGTAGGGGGCTACTCACAGTTCCGATCGCACGCAGAAAGAATCCAAATTTCTTCACTACTGGGGAGGTTTGGTAGCTACTCCACCGGCTCCTCCAGGCCCTCCCACTGCCCGATCTGTCACGCCTCCCAAGCTTATTGGCTCAGAGGCGACAACCCATGCCCCGCGCCTCGTGCAGCCGACAAGCCCCTGCAAAGCCACCATTGGCACTTCAGGGCGCAGTCATCTCCCCATTGGGCAACATGACAACCGGTAGTGATAGAGCCACGTGAGGGAGGGGGCGCCCCAGCGCGTTGATTGGACATCTGACCGGAAGCCACACCTCTCGCCCACTCCCAAAGCTTTTATTGGCTGTGGAAACAGCCCCGCCCTGCCCAAATCGGTGACGCAAATGCCGGCCCTGCCCTAAAAACTTTCTCATAGGCTGAGAGGCCTTGGAGATGTAGGGAACACGTGCGGGCAGGCTCACGCGGCAACTTGTTTACCGAGAAGCTGGGGATTTTCCTTGACGACACTTACCCAAGACTGTGTGGAGTCTGCGCAGGCGTACCGAGCGACTTGTACGCAGGCGTAGATGTAACAGGCTATGGCGTAGTGGGGATACTTAGTAAAGAGACCCTGCCATGACAAGAGGCTTCTGATGCCTGAGTTTTGTGTCTCCGATTGTTCTCAAAGCTTAAGTCTGAGCATTAGAAAGAAGAAGTCTTTAGATTGTATGACGATGATAATGAAAATGACAGTCGACGATCTTGTTTTCTGTATCAGACGCTTCTTGCAGACTCCAGCTCACTACCCATAACCTCACAAAGAGACTGAGATGCAGGGGTTACATAATCTGTCATAATTCCCATGCTAACATGTTGATTAAAAAGCTCTGACACCATGAAGGTATGTCCTTGTTTTAGGGCCTATGGAAACCTTAAGCCTAATTTCAGGGATTAAATGCAAAAAGCCTAACGTATTTAAACTCCCCCATAAAGGTAGAAGTTAGGATAGAATATTGCTAAATACAAGACACCTGAGCACCTTAGAACCTCTAAAATAATGTCTAATGCAAGAGCCTGAAAAATCTATTTTTAAAAGTATGTCTAAACCGGACAGTGGTGCACACTTTTAATCCCAGCACTTGGGAGACAGAGGCAAGTGAATCTCTGAGTTCAAGGCCTGGTCTACAGAGCTAGTTCCAGGACAGCTTGGGGCTACACAGAGAAACCCTGTCTTGAAAAACCAATTTAAAAACAAAACAAAAAACAAAAACAAACCTCTAATGGTTTTTATTTCTTGGCCAGGTATATTAAAGCACATGCCTTTAATTGCAGCAGAAGGGGAGCAAAGAGGCACTTGGATCTCTGTGAGTTCCAGGGCAGCCTGGTCTACATAGTGAGTTCCAGGATAGTCAGAGCTACATAGTGAGACCCTGTCCCCCCCCCCCAAAAAAGTTATTTTTATTTAGACAGGGTCTCATTATGTAGACCAGGCTAGCCTCAAACTCAGAAACCAGCCTGCCTCTGCTTCCTGCATAGTTGATTAAAGGTCTGCATCACACCTGGCCTTCTAGTGGTTCTTAGCCACTGAATTCTCTTTCTCTAGGTTCAACTGTCCTGGAGAGGCAAGGGTCACCATCATCCAGCAAGTACCACACAAACAAGCAGTGACTAGTCAGTCCCCCATAGTCCCCCATACGCTGAATACAGAGGGCAACCAGAAACCCTGCTACAATTTAGTGAAGCCCCTGAAGTATATCCATGGAGACAGTGTTTTGGGAGTTGAAGAGAGTGGCTAAAGTAACAATCCCACAACAGAGTGCAAGAGTGATACTCCGTCTATAGCCAGCTTTATGCTACAGCTGGTTTTGTCTCATCAGGATGAGCCTTTCACACGTTCATCAGCCCATCTCAACGTCTGGCTGGCACCGTGCCGGAAAGGGGAAGAGATGCCCCACAGAGGCAGCCCAGGAGTGGACAGCTATGAAAGAGCCTAAAGGATAGCTAGTGAATTTTAAGAGACAAAGGAATTAATGGTAGCAGCATACTCCAGGCCAGAGAAGTGGG